ACCTCTAAGTTATAGACGTAATTTGGAATATTGTAAACTAATAGTAAAATCCTTCTCAAACCAATCAGATATGTTTAAAGAGGTACTGGAGAAGTGGTTTCTACAGGATTCCTCTCGTGATACCAACAATTCTACACAAATAAAATGTGATGACTGGCCGTACATTGCTAAACTGGCTTTAAAAAAATATCTCTAATCTATCTAAAACTAAAACTTACCCACTTAGTGGATATTTAAGTTATCCTTACAACAATAGATTCACTCAGATTAACATAGACATCGAAAGATTCACTCTGTTAAAACACTACCGAAGAAAATGCGGAAATTTTTACTATAATATCAAAAACAACTCTAAACTTTCCATAAATGGTATAAACAGGTTAGCGAACCATTTTATTGAATTCTTCAAGTTCTCCCTTATACTTTTTACTGATGGCTCCATTGGACCAGATGGAGGCACCGGTTTTGGAGTCTGTGCTCCTTCCGTGGATATTAGGATTTCCATCCCTATTCCCAAATCCAATAATATCTTCCTTGTAGAGGCATACGGAATAATACATGCTATTGATACTGCTATGTCTTTGGAAGAAAAAAGTAGGCATCTTTACTGACTCATTAAGTGTACTGAAAAGTATTAATGTCATCGATACTTGGGGTAAGAAATCCATGGTATGCTACGATATTATACACAAAATTCTTAAAGCCAGAGATATGGACACTGACATCACACTTGTTTGGATTCCTGGTCACCTGTGGTATAGAAGGCAACGAAATGGCGGATATTCTGGCTAAGCTTGCATCTGGTAGCACTGAAGCCCCACCTATACACCATCTACATGACCCATCCAGTATATGCTGGCATATGAGTAAACCTATTATAGAAGAAGGAATACAAGCATTGGAAACGGAATTTAAAGTTAAAGGCAAGGAATACAGGAATCATACCGCTCTCATCCCACTCAAGTTCCGGTTCAGCGGATCAAAGAAAATTCCCAGACAAATCATTACAATCATGGCTAGGATTCAATCCCATCATATATGCACAGGTTCACATCTTTTGCGGAAAAATATCATTACTACAGACAGGTGTGAATGTGGATTCACCCCTAGGAATTTGGAGCACCTGCTTTTTAATTGTGCTCTACATATTGAAGAATCTGATAAACTCATAACACAGCTTTATGCTATAAATATTATGAATATAGAGGATATAATCAGGGCTGCATTCTCCAAATTTTCCGAACCGTTTAAATTAATCCTTAATTTTCTCAAATCTACTAATCAATCCTTATGACCTATGTCTCATGGCATTCCAACTTATATTGAAACATCTCCTATACGTTGAGTGGTGTTGGGGGTACGCCTTTTGGTTGCCTGAAGGGATAGGGATAGGGATAGGGATAGGGATAGGGATAGGGATAGGGATAGGGATAGGGATAGGGATAGGGATAGGGATAGGGATAGGGATAGGGATAGGGATAGGGATAGGGATAGGGATAGGGATAGGGATAGGGATAGGGATAGGGATAGGGATAGGGATAGGGATAGGGATAGGGATAGGGATAGGGATAGGGATAGGGATAGGGATAGGGATAGGGATAGGGATAGGGATAGGGATAGGGATAGGGATAGGGATAGGGATAGGGATAGGGATAGGGATAGGGATAGGGATAGGGATAGGGATAGGGATAGGGATAGGGATAGGGATAGGGATAGGGATAGGGATAGGGATAGGGATAGGGATAGGGATAGGGATAGGGATAGGGATAGGGATAGGGATAGGGATAGGGATAGGGATAGGGATAGGGATAGGGATAGGGATAGGGATAGGGATAGGGATAGGGATAGGGATAGGGATAGGGATAGGGATAGGGATAGGGATAGGGA